TTGGCGACCGCTGGAGCATGCCGGGCCTCAGGCCGTGCCCCCGGGCGGTTCCGCGGGGCAGGGTCGGCCGAGCTGAACTCGGACGGCAGCCAGCGCCAATGGGCAGCGGGGCCCGAGGCCAGCAGCAGGCGCGCCACCCGCCGGCGGACGGCCAGCAGCTCGGGGGGCGAGGAGCAGCCCTTAGAGCCAAGACGGGCGCCACTGCATCGAGCAGGATCACGTGGGCCCCCCGAAAACGCGAAGAGCGGAGCTTGTGCTCGAGCCCCATCGCGCCAGAGCGAGCCCCCAAGATCACCCGAGGAGCAGGGCGCCTCCAGGGCGCCGAAAGTATAAGGTGCCAGCCGCCCCTCCAGATATCGATGGGGGCCTCCTCGAAGTCCGCAACTACTGAATCATCGCGCAGGGCGGCCGCGCGAGGCCCCAGCTGGTGCTGCACTGCTCGCCCTCCTTCGAGAATCTCCAACGCTCATTGGCCCTGGCGAGCCTCCTCGCGGCCTCCTCCGAGACGCCCCTCTGAGTGGCCCCGAAGCCCCGGGGCGACGCGTCCTTGCACGTGAGAGCGGCGTCGAAGGGCAGCCCAGGGTTCTTGCTGCGGAAGACGAGGGGCGCACGGGCCCGCCGAAGTTCACGACGAACGACTGGCCATGGTCGGGGAACGCGGCCCTCGCACATCTCCCCAAACGCGTGGACAGCCCCGAGACACGAGAGGAGCCCCCTCCGGATGGGGACCCCGGAGGCGAAGTGCGAGACGATCCGAGCCATCTCCTTCCGAGGGCAATGCCTGCGACGAAGTATCTCCTGGATCCCAAGGTACAACTTCCACCGAAGCCTGGGGTTGGGCGAGGTCGCAGGCGAGCCCTGATCGAGGGCCCGGCCCAAGGTCCCCCCACCGACGCTGAGCCCCGCCCCGCGCGCAGGGAGTCCGACTGCACGCGCGCGGCCATCAACCTGAACGGCAGCAGCGGCAGCAGACTCACAAGACAGCGAAAGTGCAGCGAGATTGTCAACGCAGTCGGTCTGAACGATGCCATGGTCGATGGCCGGAGCGGGGGCGCGATCCGCCAACGCCCGATCAGGAGTAACAAGGGCTGCGCGCCGAGAGACAATCGCATTCACCGACTGGCGCAACCAAAGGTTAAGGCTGAATCCGATCGGAGGACATCTGAAGCAAGGGTATATCCACGGACTCGGCGACACACGACGCCCAGGCTCAGCGACTGAAATATTCAACTCTCCTGCCCGGATACGAGGGGGGCCGAAGTACCGACGAAACCACGTGGGCAACGGCGTAGTGCAGAACGCATCCGCAATGTCTACGCCCGCGACGCACGCGGGCTGCTGACTGTCAACTCTGAGCTGAGAGAACGCGGCCCCAGTGGCAAGTCTCACCTGCGGACGATCGTCGAACAACTGAATGGGGGTCCTCTCGTCGAGAATCAGTCGCAAGGTAACAGACGTCTTATACACATAGAACATCCCCACCGTGCTCAGAGCACCGGCGTGGAACTCAATGAGGTTAGACGGCAGAAGGCGTAGCGCAACTTTCCTTGTACAGGCGAGGGGCCCCGAGGTTGGGATCCGAATGCGCCCGCTTCGGGGCGTGCTCTGCAACCCTGGCGAGCCCCCGCTCGCGGGGCAGCAATAGTTCTTCAATGCGGCGACCAATGCTCGCGCCGTCGCCCCCGACGACAGCGGGCAGGGGCAACGGCATGGAGCCAGCTTTCGGCGGGGAGATCAGGTCGACTCGGTCGAAAGTCCCCGGCGCAATCACGGCGGACTCCTGGTCGCATGACTGCGCTACGCGGAGCTCCTCGAGGGCCCCTGCGGGTGCGAGGTCGGGCGGGGGCACTCTGATGGCGTCGACCGCCTCCTGGGCCACCGCCAGAGCCACCTGTTGAGCGGCCGTAGGCGTTGTCAACCCCGTCGGCCGTGGACAGCTCGAGCCAGCATGCATCTCGTTCAAAGCATCGATGCCATCCGGCACAATCTCTCGGCGGCGGCTGGCTCGAAGGAGTCGCCTCTTCGCAGTCCGAAAGAAGTCTGAAGCTTCAAAACTGCGGCCCGATACGCCAGGAACAGGAAGCGGGAAGACACCCCGATGCCGAAGCCGCGGACAGGACCGAGCAGCAAGTACATCTGCACCGCGGGGGGGCGAAGACGCGGAGCAACCACTATCATTCCCAGAGGCAGGCGGGGCGGCTGCCTCGGGGCCCCCGTTCATCATGACGCTGGGGCGCGACGCTCCTCCGTAGCTTTCCGCATCTGCTTAAGGATCCCAGCGTCGCGCTCTACTTGCTTGGCCACGTGCTCCAAGAGAGCGGGCGCGACCATCATGCGGCCGTCCTCGCGGGCGGCCCCAGTGAAGGCCCCGACCTCGTCGACGAACCCGAACGTCAGGATGCCGCCGCCACCTCGAGGATTCGGCTTGTTCTTGGCCTTGGCCTTCGCTTCGCCGTCGCCAACGGCTGGGGGCCCACCGCCGGCGTCTCTCGCCTCGTGCTCCATGGCGTACAGCGTACATGTACTCATGCAGCTGAGCCTGCCTCATAATGACCTCGACCCCGACGGCGCTCGGCAGGTCGAGGAGGTCCCAACGCATGATGTAGTCTACCATGCGCACGATCGACTCGTAGTGCGTGACCCCGAAGTCATCTCGCGACAGCCTATAGTACGAGACGAACTGATGGAAGTGTTCGATGGCGCCTCCGCGCTTGCGATCCAAGAAGCGAAGGCACCACAGCGTAGTCCGAGGGCCGTCGAACGGCCAGTCTGAGAACGACTCCTCACGAAAACGATCGGCACTCTCGTGGAACTGCACGCGCTGCCTCGAGCCGCCGGCGACCAGCAGCACAGGCTGAAGGCGAGCATCAGACACAGCCTCGGCCCCGCGGTACGCCACCTGTGACGAAATGATCCTCCGTATCGCTGCCCAGCTGCCGTCGGCCGCCTGCTTCAGCCCAGTGCCGCCGCGCACCACCTCCGAGCCGTCCAAGACGGCCGCATCGCCGCGAGCGGCGGTGGACGTCGTCTCGACGTACACCCGCTGCCCGGCGGGCCCAGGGACTGCGCCCGCGGCCAGCGGCGCCGCTCCTACAAGAGCGTCAGCGGCCAAGCCGACCACAGGCCCTACGGGCACAGGAGGCGCCACGGGGGCGGAAACTGCTGCCCCAGGCGGCCCAGGAGCGGGCACTGCCACCAGTGTTGCGGCGACTGGGGCACCCGCAGCGGGCGGGCCAGCCGGCCCCCCACCAGGCGCGGTTGCGCTTCCAACAGCGGGGGCGCCTCCGAAGGTGAAGAACACCATCTCGTCAGCCGGCGGCACCATGGCGGGGCGTCCAACATCGCGCTCAGCAGCGAGGTAGACGTCCCGAGAGTAGCCCTCCAACTCCGCCTGGATCGCCGCTTCCTCAGCCACCGTCAACGCCCGACGGAAATCGTAGAGCCCACCTGCGTCAAGGCCAGGTGGCCTAGTGCGGCGGTCGTCCTCGAACCGAACGGCAGCCAAACTCCCGTCCGTCAGATCGTACAGTTCCTCGTACACGTCGCCATTGAGCGTCGAGATCAGCACGCGGTGCGAGGACCATCTCGCGTCAATTAGATTCTGATGCACTCGACCCCACACCCGCCGCTGATGCCACAGCGGCGCGCCGGCGTACAGTACCCAGGCCCACTGTCGGAGCCCCAACGGAGCTGGCTCCTGCGACATCCTTCAAGATGGCGGGAGCACGCTGAGGGCGGAGCTGCGAGACGATCGCGGTAACGAACCTCTCCAAGTGGCCTGCGAACGCCAGTACGTTCACCACCAAGAGCACGAAGGCGACCCAGCCCGAGCTCCAGCCGTAGCCCCGAGGCCTGGCTCTGGCCGAGGCGGGCGAGGTGGCCGGCTCGGGGCCAGCGGCCGCGGCAGGGCACGCCGCCAGCGGGTACACGTGCACGGGAGCGCCCTGCGGGCTGGCCGGGCACGCCGGCGGTGGCGGGCACGCGCGGCACGTGGGACACTTGGAAGACCAGCCCACGACGGTCTGGGAGACAGTGCCGACGATCCAATCGGCGTACCGTCCCCCAACCAGCCAGGCCATGCGGTTCGGGGGATGTTGTCGCCCGGCGCCTGCGCCGGTAACAGCTTGAGCACAATCGGTAGCGGGCGAGCGGAGCACGCGCGGCCGCCTCTCCCAAGACACCCTCAGAAAAAGATTCACAATGCACATCTTTATGTATCCTGAGGAACCGCGCAGTATCATTGCCAGAGCAGTATCTTGGTTTGTCTTTGAAGTTTCGTGGCTGTGTGACCCTGCGGAGACTGATGGTTCTGAGCTATCTGCCGAGCTGGACTGTTCTGGCAGGCTCTCGACACCTATGCTGCTGCCACCAGCGAGGATATTGCTCTAGATGTTGCTGGCTCCCGATGCAGCAGGACACCCAAAGACACGACGCGTAACCTACCTTTTCCTCCTGCGGTTTGCTCTGGGCATCCAGGGGCAGCCGCGGCATTATCCTCCTCCTTCTCCGCCCCCCCTCCTTCTCCCGAGTGGAGCCCACACCCTGCTCCAGGCAATCCGCCTTCGACCTGAGCAGGCACACTTTCGAAGTTGCCTCCGACTGGCCGATCCAGCAGGCGGCCTCTATGCTTGCTGCCAGCTCGGCGATGCTGGTGTTAGCTCCTCCAGAGGTGATTGGGTGTCTTCTTGATGAGTGTTTTTCTTTCTGGTCTTGCATAGTGCCTTGTGCCACGATGGCACCTTGCGTCTAGACTGACAATGAGCTGTATGAAGTCTGAAGGTCTGGAGGTCCCTACGCTCATTGTCCCGTGCAAGGAGGGCGGGAGGAAGGGATGAAGGCGGAGGGAACTACGGGAGAGGAAAATGGGGTGGAGGATCCAGCAACATCCTGGGACCCCTGAGAGCCCTAGCAATTCTGCGACTGACAACCCTCTTCAAAACTTTCGGTGCATCGCTCCCTACTTCTCCTCTCCTCCTCCACGAGAAGGAGTAAGAGGAGACCTTGCCCTTAACCAAGAGCGCCACGATCTGCTCGTGCTTCACCTGGCAACCAGCCAGCTGCGCGACCAGGTCCGGCACGGAGCAGGCTGGGCTGATCAGAGCGTTGACCTGCTTGTCGTCGTCTTCGCCGTCCTCCAACTCATCCTTTTCATCCTCCAGTTTATCATGTTGCTATCCTCCTCATCTGCCTCTTCCTCTACCTTCTCTTCTTCTTCCTCCTGGTCATGAACAGGTAACCAGTGAAACCGGGAGGTGAGATCAGTGAACTCGCGAAGTCACTGATTTTGGTCGTCCACCTCCTCCTCCGACGGGGCGGCCGAAATCAGTGAATTCACGAGTTCACTGACGGCATCGTCACTACAGCTACGACTACTACTACTACTACTACTACTACTACTACTACTACTATACTACTACTACTACTACTACTACTACTACTACTACTACTACTACTACTACTACTACGACTACTACTACTACTACTACTACTACTACTACTACTACTACTACTACTACTACTACTACTACTACTACTACTACTACTACTACTACTACTACTACTACTACTACTACTACTACTACTACTACTACTACTACTACTACTACTACTACTACTACTACTACTACTACTACTACTACTACTACTACTACTACTACTACTACTACTACTACTACTACTACTACTACTACTACTACTACTACTACTACTACTACTACTACGACTACTACTACTACGACTACTAGTACTACTACTACGACTACTACTACTACTACTACTACGACGACGACGACGACTACTACTACTACTACTACTGCTACTTCTGCTACTATTACTACGATCACTATTACTACTACTACTACTACTACTACTACTACTGCTACGACTACGACTACTACTACTACTACTACTACTACTACTACTACTACTACTGCTACTGCTACTGCTATGACTACTACTAATGCAAATACTGCTACTACTTCCACTACTTCTACTACTACCACCACTACTACTACTACTACTACTACTACTACTACTACTACTACTACTACTACTACTACTACTACCTACTACCTACTACTACTGCTACTACTACTACTACTACTATTACTACTACTACTACTACTTGTACTACTACGACTACTACTCCTACTATTACTCCTCCTACTACTACTACTGCTACTACTACGACTACTACTACTACTACTACTACTACTACTATCTGGGCTGACCTTACTCTGCTTGTCCAATTTATTCTTTGGAGAATTGTAAAAAAGTGGGTGGTGGGGGTCCTGGCGGGGGGAACCACCGCGCACAAAAAATATTCGAAAACCATACGATTACCATACGACTACCATCAGATAGCCATACGACTACCATACGATTACCATACGATGGCCATATGACTACCATACGATACCATACAACTACCATATGATTACCATACAGCTACCATACGAGTACCATACGACAACCATACGATTACCATACGACAGCCATGCGAGTGCAATACGACAGCCGTGCGATTACCATGTGATTTTCATACCATTACCATACGGCCATCCTGCGACTACCATACGACTACCATACGACTGCCATACGATTGCCATACGACTACCAGACGATTACCATGCGACTACCATACGATTACCCTGCGGCTACCATACGATTACCATACGAGTACCGCGCGATTACCATACGACCACCATACGATTACCATACGGAAGCCATACGATTACAATACGATTACCATGCGACTATCATACGGCTATCGTACGATTATCATGCGACAACCATACGGTTTCCATGCGATTAACATACGACTACCGTACGATTGCTATACGATTGCCATACAGCTACCATACGACTACCATGCGACTACCATACGACTACCATACGATCATACGGCTACCGTGCGACTACCATACGATGGCCATACGGCTACCATACGATCACCACACGACTACCAAACGACTACCAAACGGTTACCGTACGATTACCGTACGAAGACTGTACGATCACCACACGGCTGCTATATGATGACCGTACGATTAACCATGCGGCTACCATACGGATACCATGCGACCACCATACGACCACCATACGACTACCATGCGGTTACCATGCGATTACCATGCGAGTGCCGTACGATTACAAACGATTACCATACGAAAACCATGCGGGTACCATACGACTACCATGCGACTACCATACGATTGCCGTACGATTACCTTACGGCCACCATGCGAAACCCATAAGATTACCATACGGCCACCATACGATTACCATGCGAAAGCCATGCGAGAAAAAAACAAACACATACGACTACCGTGCGGATACCATACGGCTACCATACGATTACCATACGTCTACCATACGAAAGACTATACACCTACCATACGGTTGCCATACGACTATGCTACGACTACCACACGACTACCACACGACTACCATACGACTACCACACGACCACCATACGGCTACCATGCGATTGCCGTACGACTACCATGCGACTGCCATGCGAGTGCCATACGATTGCCATACGGTTACCGTACGAATACCACACGAGTACCATGCGATCTCCATACGGCTACCATACGGTTACCATACGATTACCATGCGGCTACCAAACGACTTCCATACGAGTACCATACGATTACCAAACGACTATCATACGAGAGCCACGCGAAAACCATAGATTGCCATACGATACCCATACGATTACATACGATTACCATGCGGGAACCATGCGATTACCATACGGCTGCCATGCGATTACCATGCGCATACCACACGACTACCACGCGATTGTCATCCGATTACCACGCGACTACTATACGATTAACACAAGAAACCATGCTAATACCATGCGAAAGCCATACGGGCACCTTGCGATTACCACGTGAAAACCACAAGATTACCAAACGCACAACATTATATTACCATGCGAAGCCGTACGAAGGAAACGACAACAGAAACGTATACCATGCGATTGCCACACGACTACCAAACGGTTACCATCGATTACCATACAAAAACCAGACGACTACCACACGATTGCCACAGACTGCCATACGACTACCATACGATTACCATATGAGTACCGTACGATTACAATACGATTGCCATACGACTACCGTACGACTACCGCACGGCCACCATACGGCTGCCATACGACTACCATACGACTATCATACGATCGCCATACGATTACAATGAGACTACCAAACGATTACCATATGATTTCCATACGATTGCCATACGATTGCCTTCCGAATGCCATACGATTACCGTACGACTACCATCCGATCCCAGTGGCTCCCTGGGGCAATTCAGGTAAGGTCAACCCTACTACTACTACTACTACTACTGCTACTTCTGCTACTATTACTACGCTACTACTACTACTACTACTACTACTACTACTACTACTACTACTACTACTACTACGACTACTACTACTACTACTACTGCTACGACTACGACTACTACTACTACTACTACTACTACTACTACTAGATACAATACTACTAATACTACTACTACTACTACTACTACTACTACTACTACTACTACTACTACTACTACTACTACCACTACTACTACTACAATTACTACTACTACTACTACTACAACTACTACTACTACTACTACGACTGCCACGGCTACCACTGCTATCACTACTACTACTGCGGCTACTATACTAGTACTTCTGCTACTACGCCTACTACCACTACAACTACGACTACGACGACTACTCCTACTGCTACTACTACTTGTCCTACTACTACTACTACTACTACCGCAGCTCCTACTACAACTAACACTACGACTACTACTGCTACTACGACGACGACGACTACTACTACTACGACTTCTACAACAACAATCCCACCAGCCCTCTGGGCGTAGGTGGTCTAGAGCAGATCCTCTTCCACCCCTCCCTCTTCCCCCTTGGGGAGGGGTTTACCCCTCCCCCTACCCCCTCCCCTGGACCTGGACGGGGGGGGCCGCGGGTAGTTAGAGCGTCCCAGATGGCCCAAGACGGCTCCAAGAGCGCCTCAGAGAACCCAAGATGAGCTCCAAGATGGCTCAAGATAGCGCAAGATCGCTCGAGATGGCTCCTAAGATGGTTCCAAGAAGCCCAAAGACGGCCCCAAGATAACTCCAAGTGGCCAAACAGCTCCCCAAGGAGGCCCCGAAGAGGCCAAAATCGTCCCAAAACCTAAGGAAAATCAATGATTTTTGCTTTCTCGCCTTTTCGCTTCCGATGGCCATCCGAGGCCTGGAGATGGTTCCAAGATGGCCCAAGAGGGCCCCAAGAGAGCCCCAAAAGAGCCCCAAGACGGCCCCAAGAGCGCCCAAGAGCACTCCAAGAGCGTTCCAAGAGGGGTCCAAGAGGCGATTTTAGGGGCTTCCGAGGGGGGGCGCTAATTAAACCCCCCCTCTTGTTTGATCGATCTCCTCCAAGATGGCCCCAAGAAGCGCCCAGGAAGCCCCAAGAGGTCCCAAGATGGCCCCAAAATGGCCCCAAGAGGCCCCCAAGAGGCCCCCCGGAGGCCCCCAAGAGACCCCCAAGAGGCCCCAAGAGCCCCCCCAGATGCACCCAAGATGCTCCAAGAGGCCTCGGCGAGAATGCCTAATCATTGATTCTACACAGGTTTTAGCCACATGGAGGCCTCTTGGGGGGGGGCACGGATTAAGATGACTCCAAGAGCGTCTGGGAGAGCCCAAAATGACCTCCAAGATGGCTCAAGATATCCCAAGATGTCTCATAATGGCTTCCTCTGTGTGCTGCCCACTTCTCTGATCGAGGCAATTCCTCTGGGCATCGTTTCTGGATGGGCTGGTGGGGATTCGCGAAGCGACTACTACTACTACTACTACTACTACTACTACGACTACTACTACTATACTACTACTACGACTACTACTACTACTACTACTAACTTACTACTACTACTACTACTACTACTACTACTACTACTACTACTACTACTACTACTAGTACTACTACTAGTACTACTACTACTACTACTACTACTACTACTACTACTACTACTACTACTACTACTACTACTTGTATTACTACGACGACGACGACGACTACTACTA